CAGGCCAGGCAGCATCAGAGGAGCAGGAAAGTTGACACTTTGGGTCGGGACTCTTCTTCAGAAATGGGGGAAGGGGAAGGGAGCTGGGAAATAAACAGAGAGAGAAGGGGTGGGGCTGGAGAAGGTAGGTGGGATGGTGATAGGTGAGTACAGGTAGGGAGTGGTGGGGATTGGTCAGTGTGGTGGGAGGAGCAGATAGGTGGGAGAGAAGATGAACAGGTTGTGTCAGGTCAAGGAGGCAGGGATGGGAGGGAGGGTTGGTCATGGGATGACGCCGAGGGTGGGGAGATTTTAAAACTGGTGAATTCCATGTTTAGGCCATCGGGCTGTAGGTTCCCGAGGCGGAATATGAGGTTTTGCTCCTCCAGTTTGTGGGTGGTGTCATTGTGACACCGGAGGAGGCCCAGAATGGACACATCACTCTCCAACAGCATCGCAACGTGCTGGCTCAGGGCTGCACCACTCCGCAGTTCCACTTCATCCTCCAGTTCTGAGGAAGGGTCACTGGACCTGAAACGTTAACTCTGTTTTCTCCTCCACAGATGTTGCCAGACCTGCTGAGCTTTTCCAGCAACTTTGTTTTTGTCCCAGGATGGACATGTCACTCAGGGAGTGGGAGGGGGAGTTGAAATGGTTAAAAGGAAAAAAAAAGGTCTTTTTCCGAGAGACAGCCAGTGACTAGTGGGGTACCTTGGGGATAAGTGCTTGAACCCCGCAAGCTGTTCATAATACATATTAATGATTTAGATGAAGGAAGTAAATGTAATATCTCAAATTTTGCAGATGACACAAAGCTGAAGAGGATGCCGAGACGTTGCATTTGGATAAGCTGACTGAGTGGGCAAATGTATGGCAGATGCTATATAATGTGGATAAATATAAGGTATCAAAAATAGGAAGGCAGATTATTACCCGAAGGGCGGTAAATTGAGAGAGGAGAATTTTTAATGACACCTGGGTGTCTTCATGCACCAGTTTCTGAAATTAAGTGCAGGTGCAGCCGGCAGTAAAGAAGGCCAATGCTATATTGGCCTTCACAGCGAGAGGATTCAAGTACAGGAGGAGGGATGTATTGCTGCAATTATACAGGGCATCGGTGAGGCCACATCTGGAGTATTGTGTGTTGTCCCTTATCTGAGAGATGATCTTGCTACAAAGGGAGTGCGGCGAAGGTTTACCAGATAGATTCCTGGAATGGCAGGACTGACAGATGAAGAGAGATTTAAATTGCTTAAGATTGTATTCATTGGAGCTTGGAAGAATGAGGGGGTTCTCATAGAAACCTATAAAATCCAATTAAGACTAGATAGGTCCGAGGCAGGAAGGATGTTCCCAATAGCTGGGGGCGTCCAGAGCCAAGGGTCATAGTTTAAGGATAAAAAGCAAATATTTTTGGACCAAGATGAGGAGAAATGTCTTCACTCAGAGAGTGGTGAGCCTGTGAAGTTCACAGAAAGTGGTTGAGGCCAAAACATTGTGTTTGCAAGAAGGAGGTAGTGGTCAAAGAGATCGAAGGGATTTGGGGGAAGGGCGGGATTTGGGTCTTGAGTTTGATGATCAACTATGTCTCTATGTTTCGATGTGGTACGGATCGTGGCTTAGTGGGACCTCAGTTCCAGCACCATTCCCCCACCAGCATTGGCAGGTTCCCCTCCAACACCACCCCTGACTTGAAACTACCTCACTGTTCCTTCACTGTTGCTGTTTCTACATTCTAGAATTCCCTTCCTAATAGCACTTTGAGTGCCCCTACATCACATGGGATGCAGTGGTTCAAGAAACTAGGGATGGACAACTTGCCCACATCCCATTAATGAATACAGAAACAATTCCAATCGTACCACTTTTCCTCCATTTACCAGCTTCAGCATCTGTTTAGATCCTGTTAATCTTTAACTTCCTTCATTTCTGATACAATGGTATTGACCTGAAATGTTAACTCTGCTTCCCAATCCACATGTATTGCCTGACTGTTGCCAGCAGTTTTCGTTTTTATTTCATATGTTCGAACTCTCACTGATTTTTCGTTACAAGTATTTCCACTATAACACATGTTTCATTAACAGGAATTGGCTGTAATGTGATTGATGAATAGTGGACGCTGTTTGGACAATGCAAAATTTCGACTGTACAGTACAGTGATTTTCTACAGTGATTTCCCTATCATGCGATCTTCTATGGTGATTTTCTACAGTGCAAGGTTGCACAAGAATGCGACTATCATGTTATAAGAGAACTACCTGTACTTTTATTCTTTTATCAGTTTTGAACTATCAGCTGGAAATTGCTGGTAGTCTTTGGGACAGCTTGTATTAAAAAAAGAGCAGACGAAACAAGCTTTATTTGGTTCTGAGATCAGGCCTGGAGGCTGAGTGTGGGCTGAGCCTTGATTAAAAATGTTCTAACAGACAGAGCAACCCTGGGGAGAGCACTGTGTTTAAACAGATAACAGAGGTTGGCTGCAAGGTCAGTACCTGGGGATTGGTTCCAGCAGGTCTGAGAGAAACCCTCTTTTCAAGCAAACGGCAATTGTTGAATGGTAACTGAAGCCTCAGGAAGAATCAGTCAAATTGTCAGGGTGCAACCAGAATTAAAGTTTTGTTTTGAAATGTGTTTCTGAGAGATGGTTCTGTGCTGCTGCTGAGGCAACATGAAGATTTCAAAGCTCCCTGCATAATCTGATACACCTGCTTCTGGAAGCTCAATAGAAAGCTGAGTTAGGAGTATTGTTGCCTTTAGCTGTGTGAGTCCACATTTATAACAATGAAACAACATCATGAAGGACAGTTAAGTAATCTAGTCAGCTTTGATATTTTCTTTTATCTATTGCTTAATTGCATTTCTCTGCCTTTCGTGTGAATGGGGCTGGAAACAAATGTTTTGGGTTGAAAGCACAGGTATTAATCAGTTTACCGTGTCTGATAACCCCTACAAGGCCGATGGGAAGATCACTAACTAATCTCCTTTGATAACAGGCCTAGCTGCCTAGCTGGAACTCATCACCTGAGCCCTTTATAAAGCAGACTCATGCCCCTCTTCTGTGGTTATGTTTGTGCCCAGGTGTCCTTGGAGAGGGAGCATGCAGTGTTCTTCAATGCTCTGGATGCCTTTAGAGAGAGGTGGGCACAGCGGGGGATACAATGCTTTATTTCCCCCTCCAAATTCATATTGATTTAACTCTTTCCCTACCCTTCACATTTGATGGTTTGCATTGCCTACATTGGGCTTTGTATGTAAAAACTGAATTGGCTGCATGGGGGTTTTTACAGGTGGTGGATGGTAGTTAAAAACAAAGCAGACCAAAGATGCGTCCACAGAATGGTTTGCCCTGGGCTGGGAATAGCCTATGTACGCAACGAGTAGGGGCTCTATTTTTTGGTGTTCAACAATAAATGATGTTCCTTGCTAGTCGGGTTTCCGGAGCTGTTACACCATGATGTTTAAATTTCTCTCTGTTCATTGTATTAGATATCTTTTGTTTAAGATACAAAACCAGTGTGTGGAAAATTAATTTTTCACAAAGTCTGGGATTGGTTATTCAAAAGTTTGGTTAGGAAACATTAGAGTGACTAATTGGAGATCTTTGACAATTTAATATTACTCTATGTTCCAAATACAGAGGGAGAAAGGCTGATTTAGTTCAGCCATCTGTCTCCATGTTGTAACATATATCCATAATTTGCAGTCTTTTGTTTTTGACACAGATAATGTTCTTCTATGATCTTAATCCAATTTATTTAGGCTGTAGTCAAATCAAGAAACCTTGATCCCTTCTGGCCAAAGATTATACAGTGAAGCCACCAAACCAACCATCCATGGCACACTGCCTATCTCACCAGGGTGAAAATCTCTTCCAAACCAGTTCCCCACCAAGTCATATACCATCCTGACTCGGAAACATATCACTATTGCTTCACTGACTCTGGATCAAAGTCCATAAGAACATAAGACATAGGAGCAGAAAATAGGCCATTCGGCTCTTCGAGTCTGCTCTGCCATTCAATCATGGCTGATAAGTTCCTCAACCCCATTCTCCTGCTTTCTCCCCGTCACCCTTGAACTCCCTATCTATCTCAGTTTTAAATGTACTCAATGACCTGGCCTCCATAGCCTTCTGTGGCAGTGAATTCCATAGATTCACCACTCTCTTTTCTCCTTATCTCTGTTCTAAAAGGTCTTCCTTTTACTCTAAGGCTGTGCCCTTGGGTCCTAGACTTTCCTACCAATGGAAGCATCTTCCCAACATCCACTCTGTCCAGGCCATTCAGTATTCTGTAAGTTTCAATTAGGTCCCCCCTCATCCTTCTAAACTCCAACGAGTATAGTCCCAGAGTCCTCAAACATTCCTCATATGTTAATCTTTCCATTCCTGGGACTATTGTCATGAACCTCCTCTGAACCCGCTCCAGGGCCAGTACATCCTTCCTGAGATATGGGACCCAAAACTGCACACAATACTCCAAATGCGGCCTGACCAGAGCCTTATAAAGCCTCAGTATTACATCCCTGCTTTTATATTCAAGTCCTGACTCTCTCCTTAACCATCTTGTCAGTGTACTACCACCACAAGGACTGTGATGGTTCAAGATGTAACTCAACACCACCACTTTCACATGAACAATTAGAGATGGGCATAAATACTAGTCCAGTCAGTGATGACCATATCCCATGAACGAATAACACAAAACTGAATAGGTTTGTTTCCGTGGGTCTGGGTTAACTTCTCCTTTCTGACCTGAGACAGATAACCTTCCCTTGACCTAACAATTTGGCTTTGAAACAGAATTCCTCCCACCTCTGCCTGCAAAGTAAATTCCAATGCTTTAACGTAAATTATGCCCATATTCCACTGTGGGAAATGAATGTATATTGTAATATATGTTGGACTATCCCATTTAGCTTGACGATTCCTGTAACATCCAATTTCCCAATCAACAAAGAGTATGCATTCTATCTGTTTCAATAGCAACAACAGAGTCTCATTGATCAAATGCACTCACCTTCAGTTTCTGGACTCTTATGATCTTGGAAATCAATCCATTTTCTGTCAACATTCACGAAAGCAGTCGAAAGCATCTTCATCTCCAAATTGTGGCCATACTCCTTGTGTAGGTCCTTTGCAAACTTCCGCATTGCCTGAGCCAGCAAGCCATCAGACCAGTCCATTGTGTGCTGGTCCACATGCCCATACAGCTCTCCGAGACTGATGCATTTGGGATTGATGGTGAAGGTTTCTACTTTGCCTCTCTTAGCCATGGGGCTCTGGGAAGGTTAATAAAAACATTTGGGAAACAGGTTTGAGCATCTGGGTGACCCTTACATTAAGACTTATCACTTGACCTTGAACTCTCCCACCCTCCATCATTCTATTCCTGGCTCTGAATTAGGATTGTCAATCCTTACAGGAAGTTCCAGGAAGTAAAGATTAATCTCAGACCTCACATTGAGAAAAATCCCAGGGGCCAGTCAAATGCCAATGGCTTTATTTTTCATTATCTGTGAACACTTTTATCCATTCATTCTAAAATGATGGGGAGAAAAACGAGTCAGGTGAAAAACCGATCTCGGAAGCTGCAGGGAGACACACAGTTTCCTGAACAATTTCCTCTTCTGGTGAACATCCACGAGACCCATATCTCACAACTCCCAAAGTTATCTCCTGCTTTCTCAATCACTCCCCATTCTCTGGCACCCCATTGCTCTGAATCACCTGCTCCCACATCTTTACTTTTTTTTAATGTAATTCCTCCCAGGATAAATGTTTCTGAGCTAATGTTTCAGAGTGGAATAACACAAGGGCTGAAAGCAGTTCCAACACACAGAACCTCATGCTACAATGATTTAACCTTGTCCTCAACATCAAAGTCTACCAGACATCTTTCGTTTTGGAGGCAGAGAGTGAGAATGATGTTTGTGAAATCTCCCCAGGGTCAACAGCAAGCACAGGGTAGTTTGACATGGATGAAGAGGCTGATTTTCACTGTTTCTCTCCTTTTATATTCCCATGAGATTTTCTGAGCTCCCTACCATCCCCAAGCCGACCCCCAGCAGGCTCCAACCTCACATAGCTGAGATAAGAGTGAGGTAAGTTTGCTCCACAGAGTATTCATTTCCTCGTGCCAGGGTGGGTGCCCATTGGTGTTCTGCTGACAACCCCACTCAAAGTGCTGGACCTGAGAAAGGTCAGATAACCAGAAGATGGAAGGCCAAAGAAGCTCAGGAGAGAGAGAGAGAGACCATCCAGGTGCCATTTGATTCCACATTTACCAGTAGCAGATCCAGCATTGTAGCAGGGAATTGACCAGAGCTGCATGTATTCCAGCTTTGTTCGAATTACTCGAACCAAAAGAAAGATGGATTCAGGCCATGCCGTCATAAGGGAGAGGGAAGGTGGATGCCAGACAAAACATTGAGAGGACAGAGGAAAGATAATCCATAAGAGTCATCACAGGGAAGTTGTGAGTAGATTAGCAACTCACGAGTGTTAAGCAATTGTTGCTAGGGCCTGTGTTTCAACTCAACTAATTTTGGAAAATGTAAATTTCTGTAGACACAGGACAGGAAACTGATTCGTGAATAAGGATGAAAATATTGACTTTCTACTACTGTTCAGTTTTTAGTTAATAGGACAAGAGTAAGGTTAAAGTAACAAAGTAAGGAAAAGTAACTGAAGTTAAAGGCAACGAAGTAACTTCAAAGTATAAGTTGAAGGTATGTCAGGGCAGTCAGGCCGAGTAGAATGCGCATCCTGTGGCATATGGGGAGCCATGTGAATGCTTGTCATGACCCAGGCAAGCCTATGTGAAGGAAGAGTCACTGGCTTCCCATGACTGAGCCTCAGCTCGAGCAGTGGCTTCAGTCACTGAGGGGTATCCTTAAGGTAGAGAGGCACATTCAGTGAGGTAGTCACACTGCAAACTTGCATCTAGCAGGAAGATCAGAAACGAGTGACCTTCAAGCAGGCCAAAACAAACAGGAAGGTAGTACAGGAGTCCCCAGTGGTCCCAGTCACTATTGGTGAGGCCATTGGGTGGCCCAGCTGTACAGAACCAGGGGAAGAAGATGGAAGGGCAATACTGATAAGAGATTCTGTTTTTTCAGGGACTGGTATTTCTGCAACCATCAACGTTCCTTCAGGATGGTGTGTTCCTTCCCTGATGGTAGGGTCAAGAGCATCACAGAATAGTTTCAGAATATTCTTCTGGGGAGGCTGAACAGCCAGAGGCCATGGTCCACATTGGTAATAAGGATAGAGGTGGGAAGGGGATGAGATCATACAATTAGAATTTAGGGAGCTCAGTAGAAAATTAGAAAGAAAGATCTCGAAAGTAGTAATATCTCGATTGCTCCCAGTGTTATATGGGAGCGAGTACATAAATAGAAGGATAGAAAGAGGAGGGGTGGAGCTTCTAGTTATGGAAAGCATTGCATTACTGGAGAAAAAAGATGTTTCATTTGCATCAAAGACAGAATCAATTTGGTAACAGCTAAGGGATAAGAAAGATGCAATCACAATTTTTGGTATAAACTATAGATTGTACGAAATGGTTGTGAAGATCAGCCCAACAGTTACAGATCAGATTAACTTCAGTGGTAGGAAACATAACAAGATAAGAACATAAGAACCAAGAGCAGGAGTAGGCCATCCAGCCCATCAAGCCTGCTCCGCCATTCAATAAGATCATGGCTGGTCTTCACACAGACTCAACTCCACTTACCCGCCCACTCACCATAACCCTTGAGGTAATGAATTCCACAGGCTCACCACTCTCTGGGTGAAGAAATGTCTCTGCATCTCCGTCCTAAACAGTCTAACCCAAATCCCCATACTGTGACCCCTGGTTCTGGACACACCCACCATCGGGAACACCCTCCCTGCATCTACCCTTGTCCAGTCCTGTTAGAATTTTATAAGTCTCTATGTGATCCCCCGTCATTCGTCTGAAATCCAGTGAAAACAATCCCAACCTAGTCAATCCCTCCCCATACATCAGTTCCACCATCCCCGGAATCAGCCTGGTAAACCTTCACTGCACTCTATCAAAAGCAAGAGCATCCTTCATCAGAAAAGGAGACAAAAACTGCACACAATACTCCAGGTGTGGTCTCACCAAGGCCCTGTACTTTCCAAAATGCGATCATTCCTGTTCCTGATGACAGACATGTGAGTAAAGGTATAGGTCATGATATAAGAGGCACAGTAGCAACACAGATACTAAATCACCTGAGTGACAGGAAACAGATTAATGGTGTAGCGCTCCCTCAGTGCTGACCCTCTGACAGTGTGGCATTCCCTCAGTACTGACCCTCCGACAGTGTGGCACTCCCTCAGTACTGACTCTTTGACAATGCAGCACTTCCTTTTACTGACCCTCCGACAGTACACATTCCCTCAGTACTGACCCTCCGACAGTGCGGCGCTCCCTCAGCACTGACCCTCCGACAGTGCGACGCTCCCTCAGTACTGACCCTCCGACAGTGCGGCACTCCCTCAGCACTGACCCTCCGACAGTGCGGCACTCCCTTAGCACTGACCCTCCAACAGTGTGGCGCTCCCTCAGCACTGACCCTCTGACAGTGTGGCTCTCCCTCAGCACTGACCCTCCGACAGTGTGGCACGCCCTCAGCACTGACCCTCCGACAGTGCGGCGCTCCCTCAACACTGACCCTCCGACAGTGTGGCACTCCCTCAGTACTGACCCTCCGACAGTGTGGCACTCCCTCAGTACTGCTCTGGGAGGCCCCGTTTGAAATTTAAACTGAAGGTCTCAATCTTCACATTAAAAGCCCTTTTAGCCACTTTATGTCTTGCTGTATCAGAAAATAATTTATGGAGATTCTTAATGAATTTGGTTTATTTTAAGTAGTATTTTATTTTAACTAGGTGATTAGAATTGATGAATTACTCTCTCCCTAATGGCATTGTGGGTGTCCCTACAGCACATGAACTGCAGCCATGCAAGAAGGCAGCTCACCACCACCTTGTCAAGGAGCAACTTGGGACAGCAATAAATACTGACCCAGCCAGTCATGTTTACGGCCTACGATTGAATTTGAAAATCTACTCACCAAGGATGATGTGCTCCCAGCATCGGTAGCAATGCTTGGTAAAATGATCAAGGCTTTTTGTAAGATATTTCTGGCTGTTGTCTTTCCTCCACACGTAGGACCTACCAGCATCACTCCAGGACGGACCTGCACAGAGAAGGAGATTTTCCATTAAACAGTCAGGATGGTGTATTATCCTCAGTGCTGCTGGGCTCCTTTACTTCGCCCCTTCATGTCGATATCGGAAATTAAAGATAATCTCAGTCTGGAATGTCAAACTCAAGTGAAGATATTTTACCTTTCATGTATGGAATGGGATTAAGAAATGGAGATGCTAAGGAGTAATGTAAGTAGATAAGGGCACGGATGGGTTGCCAATAGGCAGAGCCAGTCAGAATGAGTAGATTGAAGTATATGAATGGACGGTATTGGGGGTAAGATTTCAGTTCTATGGCGAGACCAGAGAAGGTGGATTTAGAAGATAAGAACAGGAATTAGCCAGGCAGCCACTCAATGAGATTGTGCTGATCTGTATTTTAGACGATAACTGTGGTTTTGTTCTGAACTAATAATCCAATGACATGCCAGCAGCACATACACCTTGAGAAAAAAAATGTGCATTAACTCACCTGGGCTGCAGACCTCTTCCCCTTGGCCAGCAAACATCTAGCCGTCTCGGATTTAGCATTTCAACTAGCATCTACTGCTCTTTATAAGTGAACAAAGTCAGAAATCACATGACACCAGGTTACAGTCCAACAGGTTTATTTGAAAACACAGGCTTTCGGATCCTCACTCCTTCTTCAGGTGTTAGTGAGAGAGGTAGCATCTGTCATTAACACCTGAAGAAAGGGCAAGGCTCCGAACACTTTTATTTTTGGACATTTTTGAAAATGTAGCAGTTTTTAAAATCAAGTGACTGGAACTCATTGTGAGTTACATCTATAATGTCTTATTCAAGCAGTGGAAGAGGTGTTAGATATTTTGGCTCCATGGTTATTTTCTGAAGAAGGGTCCCGACCTGAAACGCCAACTTTCTTGCTCCTCTGATGCTACCTGGCCTGCTGTATTCCTCCAGCTCCACAGTGTTGTCTCTGACTCCAGCATCGGCAGTTCTTGCTACCTCCATGGTTATATGTTCAGGTTCTTTTGACTAGTGGCAGGCTTCTGATTGATTTGTGTGTCTAAGTGTATGTATGTGTGTGCGTGCGTGTACTTGTGTACTTGGTTATAGTTGGTTCCCAGGCGAGTGGCTGCAGCTTTGTGTATGAACAATGCAGCAGGAACATTCAGCTTGTGAAGCAGAAAGGACTACAAGACCATAAAACATAGGAGCAGATTAGGCCTTTCAACTCATCGAGTCTGCTCCAGCATTCACTCATGGCTGATCTAATTTTAACCTGTCAATCGTTCATCCTCTTGGGTAATCAAGAATCTATTCATCCTCACCTTATAAATATTTAAAGATCCTGCATCCACTGCCTTTTGAGGAAGTTTATGGGCCATCCAGATATGGGCCTACTGAAGGAAAGTGGAACTCGTGGAGGTAGTGGTATAGACTTGATTGACCAAACATTCTATAATTCTATAAAGGGAATTCCAAAGAGTCTCGACTCTACGAGTGAAAGAAAATGTTTCCTCATCTCTGTTTTAAATGGGCACTCCCTTATTTTTAAGAAATGGGAGGAGTTCAGAACAATACAACCAGTTCAAGAAAGAATGAGAATCAGAGAAATATAAGAACATGAGAACTAGGAGCAGGAGTAGGCAATTCAGACCCTTGAGCCTGCTCTGCCATTTAATACGATCATGGCTGATCTCCTCTCAGCCTCAACTCCACTTTCCTGCTTGGTCCCCAACCCTTTAACCTGTTACTAACTATCTGACTACCTCCTCCTCAAATTTATTCAGTGTCCTAGCAACTACCGCACTCTGGGATATCGAATTACAGAGGTTCATGACCTTTTGAGAGAAGTAATTTCTCCTCATTTCTGTTTTAAATCTGCTACCACTTATCCTAAAACAGTGACTTCTCACTCTACATTGGCCCACAAAGAAAAACATCCGCTCTGCATGTACTTTATCAATATTCTTTAGCATTTTATTTTAAATCTTCTCTCATTCTTCTAAACTCTGCAGAGTTCAGGCATAAACTCGTCAAACTCTCCTCATAAGGCAAGCCTTTCATCTCTGGAATGAATCTAGTGAACCTTCCCTGAACTGCCTCCAATGTTTTTAATGGAGTTCCCAAGGGGTCAATTTTGGGACCTTCTCCTTTCCTGATATATATAAATGATAAAGATATTGTGCATTAGGGACAATTTTGAAATTTGCAGATGTTACGAAGCTTGGAAGAATTGTAAACTGTGAGGCAGACGGTGTTGAACTGCAAAAGGACTTAGATAGGTTTGCGGACTGGGCAGTCAAAAGGCAGATGAATTTCAACGTGGAAAAATGTGAGGTGATGTACTTTGATATAAAGAACATGAAGAGGCAGTATTCAATAAAGGATACTATTCTGCAGGACATGCAAGAACATTGGGTGTATGTGTTCAGTAATCATTAACAGTGACACGACAAGTAGAGAGAGCTGTAAAGCAGACAGTAATCTAAGCTTCATTAACAGGGCCATAGAAAGCATGATCAAAGAGGTTGTGCTGTACTTATGTCAGACATTTGTTAGACCTCAGCTGGAATATTATGTATAGTCTGGATGCTACATGACAAAAGTATGTGAACGCTTTGGAGAGAATGTAGAAAAGGTTTACAGGAATGTTTCTAAAGATAGGTAACTTTCAGTTATGAAGATAGTTTAGAGAAGTTGGGACTGTTTTCCTCTGAGAAGAGAAGGCTCAGAGGAGATTTGATAGAAGTTTGCAATATCATGAAGGTCTGTTTAGAGTAGACAGGGAAAAGCAGTTCCTACTCTTCAACGATCAAGAATGCAATGGCACAGATTTAATGTGTTTTGCGAAAGAAGCAAATGAGAGATGAGAGAAACATTTTCACACAGTGAGTTGTTAGGGTCTGGAATGCACAGTTGTGAAGTGTGTTGGAGACAGGTTCAACCGAGGCATTCAAAGAGATGTTAGATGACTATTTACATAGAAACAATGTACAGGGTTACGGGAAAAAGCAGGTGACTGGCAATAAGCCAAAATACTGAGAGAGGCTGCACACACATCAGGCTAAATGGCCTCCTTCTGCAATGTAACAATCTTGTGATTCTGTGATGATTATTTTAAAATCTTGATCAACAAGGGAGTCAAAGGAGAGGGCAGAGAGAAAAGTGGATTTGACATCACAATCAGATCAGCTATAATCAGAGGCAAGGGAATGAACAGCCTATTCTATAAGGCCGTAAGACGTAGGAGCAGAAGCAGGCCATTCAACTCATTGAGTCTGCTCTGACATTCAAGCTGATCATGGCTGATTTGATAATCCTCAACTCCACTTTCCCATAACACTCGATTCCCTTTCTGATTAATAATCTCTTTCTCAGCCTTGAATGCGCTTAATGACCCACCCTCGACAGCTCATTGTAGTAAAGAATTCCACAGATTCACTACTCCTTGAGATGAAATTCCTCCTCATCACTTTCTTAAATATGTGACCTCTTATTCTGAGATTATACCCTCTAGCCCTAGATTCTCTCATAATAGGAAGTAACCTTTCCATATCTTCCCTATCAAATCCCTTAGGAATTTTGTATGTTTCAATAAGGTCTCCTTCATTCTTCTAAATTCCAATGAGTACAAGAGCAATCTACTTGACCTCTCCTCATCCCTGCTCCTAATTCATATATTCATAAGTTTGCATGTTTCACATTGTCCTATCAAACAGAAGCGGACAAGTACAGCACAAATTAAATATGTCAAAATATGATTCAGTACAAATTTCACCTGATTATTTCTCTCAATTTTTCTAAAGAAGAATGAAGTTTTGATGCACCTAGCTTTTTCAGTACCAGGAAAAATGTCCAATTTTCAAGCATTGTATGCCACATCTATAACAAAGCTTTGTCAAACAAGTTGGATAGCTGGCAGGGTCTAAATTTGCAAAAGATCTGACGCTGCTCTGAAGATCTAAGCACTGTAATTTCATTCTGATACTGAACAGGAAATACCACCACTGACAGCCTGCAGTTACTATATTAAAAATCAAGTGGATATATATCAGCTTTTTAAAAAATTCAGATTTAAAACTCAGCGCTCTGTTTGAGAATAGAAACAAGGAACAATTTGGAACAGATGGCCATTCAGCCCCATGGCTCTGTCCTATCATTCAATTAGATCATGAGAGATCTTGACAGCATTTATTCCATACTTCATTGCTAAATAGAGGGTCATTCAGCTGGACAGCTGGTTTGCTATGCAGAGTGACACCAACAATGCAGGTTCAGTTCCCACACTGGTTAAGGGTATGAAGAAGGACGCTCCCTCACCTGAGTCACAGCAACCCTCAGGTTAAACCACCACCAGACCTCTCTCTCTAACAGAAGAGCAGCCCTATGTTCTGGTAGGGCTATGGTGACTTTAATGTACCCAATCAAAAGCTGCTGAGGGAAGATGTCTGTCCACAGATGCTGTCTGATCTGCTAAGTATTTCCAGCATTATCTGCTTTTCTGAAAGATTATGGTCTTCAAAGGTGCAATTGTCCCTGTAGCAACCACAGCCTTCCCAAGAAGAATGTTCTTGACCTATACTACCCTTTGTGTGTTTCCTGGTTTCATTGATAAATGGCCAAACTGTAATTTTTGGATTTTTCCTGGAGTCTGCCGCTGAACTGTTATCTGCTCAGGGCACCCTCCAAAGGCAGCAGCATCCCCTTTCTTCCTGCAATTTTAAACGTAATGTGGAGATTGTGGTGTTGGACTGGGGTGACAAACTCAGAAGTCACATGATGCCAGATTATAGTCCACGTCTCTGAAAGCTTGTGATTTCAAATAAACCTGTTGGACTATAACCTGGTGCCACATAACTTCTGACTTTGCAATTTTAAAAACGTTGAAACCTGCCCACTCCTGTCTGTCTGCCTGCGTGCTTGCCCTGCTAATTGTGCTGTTGTGGACAGGGTAATATCGGTAATAATACCTGAACAACCCTCTGATAGGGCTCAGCAGCCCCCGCAGTTCAACAGCATTAGAGATTGGCAAGAAATGCTGAACCTGCTAGTGACACTCACATCCCATCAAACAATAAAGCAAAAAAGAAAGGTTTATTTTCAATACTCAGAGGAATATAAATATACATCAGTGAAATTAGGTTGATGAGATAAACAAATGATCAAGTCAATAATTTCAACCCAGTTGAAAACTTACCAATATCTGGCTGTATAACTGGATAATCTTCTCCACTTGGCTTGGCCAAGGCTGAAATCCTAGTTCTGCAGTTGCCATGGCTATTGCTTTCTGGAATAAACAGACAAAAACAGAAGCATTAAAAGCAATCACAGCAGATATTCAGTTATAACAGTGCTGAGCCAGCTGCTTAGGAATTCTTGAGTCTAAGTTATCTCTGTTTCTCTCTAGTCCTCAGGATTGTTGTGCTGACTCAGGAAGAATACAGAAGTGTCAATAATAGTCCACAAACACATGGAGCAATTGTCTCAATACATCATTTTGCTGGAAGGTCACTTGCTCCCTAACATCTGCTGGAATTTCCACCTTCTGTTGAAAAAGCAGTGAAAAGTTATGACAATCCAGGTCTGTTTAGCAGCACAGATGCCTTGCACCGACCAAATATAACATCAAAATGAAATCAGTGTGAAAATGGTTCGTACATATACCAAGCCATACTGACCAGCAGATCTCCTGCACCATTGCAAGCTGAGTCTGAATTCATGCAAACCCCCTCCAGGCCTGGAGACCCAATCTGGCCTGTTATTGCAGTGCAGTTCACGAGGGAGTGCTACACTGGCAAAGATACTTCATCCATCTGCTTTCTCATGTGGATGTGAAAAATCCATGGCACTATTTTGAAAAACAACTGTTGAATTCTACACAGGGTCCTGGCCAACATGTACTTCTCAATCAGCATTACCAAAACAAGTTAAGTATCACTAAAACCAGCTACTTGACTACTAGCTCATTGCTACTTGCAAGTTAGCTGCTGCATTTCCTAAAACTGTGACAATGACTGCAACTCAAAAGTATTATTTAGCTGTAAAGTACTTTGTAACATCCTGAGAATGAAAGTCACGCTTTGAATGCAAGTTCCTTTCTTTTATTGCAATGGATGCTTCAGTCATACTGGGACTACACAAGGGACACTGACTTACTCTGATGGTTACTAAGTCAAATTTCTAGTGTTTTTAGTCATTATTTGGGGATTAAATCACATAACTATGTCCTGTGTTCTGTTAAAACTGTTAGTGAGTGCTTTCATCTATCTTTAGCTATGGAATTAATTCTGACTATTTTTAAAAGTGAGGTACATATCCAGATGGTATCCCACCAAGGCTTCCCATGATCAACAGGACACAAGCAGCCAAGGCAATAAGTATAAAAAAATTGCATTTTCTCTGTACCAAAAGCAGGAAATTTTCCCAACCTGAAACTTAGTGATACCAGAAAGGGACGCTAAAGTTTAGCTGTGCCAAAATGCAAGCCACATCATGGTTAGGTCAGATGACCATAAGTTTGGTCAAGAGGTAGTATTTTAAAATAAAAGGTACTTTAAAATGGGAAAGTGAGGTAGCGGTAGGGAGAGGTGTATGGTTGAAATATCAGAATTTAAGGCTAAGCATCTGAACCATGGCCACCAATGCTTGAACAGTTAAAATCAAAATACACAAGACACTGGAATTAGATGAACACAGAGACCTTGAAGGGTTGTGGGGCTGGAGGAGATTACACAGACAGGGAGTGGCAAGGCCATAGAAAACAAGGGTGAGAATTTTAAAATCAAAACATGGCTTGAACAGGAATCAATGTAACTCAGTAAGCTCAGGACTGAGAAGGTGTTGGGGTGAGCTAAGGCACGGGGAGCAGGGATTTGGAGGACCTCAGGTTTATGGAGGATAGAACGTAGGAGTCATGCCAGGAACAGCCATGCATTCTAAAGATAATAAAGTGGGACAATTGCGGTATGATTACAGAGTTTAATAAAACTGGGACAGCTTTACCAGTAGTTAACAGCACTGAAGAATGGTTCAGGATTTTGGCACCTCTGCGGAATTATTCAGGATTTTAGTAACACTTAGGGAGGTGAGGTGACAGATGGAGGTTAATGGAGGGAAGGAGGAAGAGGGGATAGAAGAGAAGAGGGGTGGAGGGAAGTTGAATGGAGAGGAGGGGAGTGGAGGAAGATGAACGGAGGGGAGCAGAGGGTGGGGAAAGAGGAGGAGGGGAGTGGAGGAAGACGAATAGAGGGGAAGGGAGGTAACGTATTAGAGATGAAGGGAGAGAAAGTGGAAGAGGTGATGAGGGAAGTGAAATGGAGGTGATGGAGGGTGAATTAAGTGGAGGGAGGGGAGGAAAGTGAGTGATTGCAAGGAATTAGAAGAGGTGAATGGAATGGAGGTGAGATATAGAAGTTTCTATTTTATACATCATGGTACATGAACATTGCTGGTAAGACCAGCATTTATTGCCCATCCCTAATTGCTCTTGAGAAGGTGGGGTTGAGCTACCTTGTTGAACCACTGCAGTCCATGAGCTGTAGGTAGAACCACAATGCCCCTAGGGAGGGAATTCCATGAATTTGACCTGTGACACTGACGGAACGGCAATATATTTCAACATCAAATATCAGAAGAATAAAATCTGGAAAATCTCAGCAGATCAGGCAACATCTGTGGTGAGAAACAGCAGTAATAGTGCAGGTCAGGGTGACCTTTCATCAGAATGGGTTCAGATCTAACTGGAAGTGAGACAGGAGGACAGCAAAGATCTAGATACAGACTTGTGTCATTACACAGAACCCACCAATAATCACAATCCTAATACATGAAAGTGATCCCTTGCCCAAATAATTTGAGTGTTCCCAAAACACAGTGGGAGTTAATTACTTTATGACAGGAGAAGGAACGCTGAAGCTGAACAATTCTGTGATTTTGCATGTGAAGTGGAAACTTCAGACAGTGTATTCTGAACAAAGCACCAGATCTAGAAGGTTTACTGTTGTTACATCACCTGCAGTGAAAGAGTTTCTTCTTTGGGTGAAGTCAGTCCTGGGAAGAGATCATCTAGAATACTTTCAAACAAGGGGACATCTTCAGCCAGGAACTTGGGGAAATTTGCATCCTTCAGTGCATGGATGAGAATGTGTGATTCATCAGTCTGGCTCATGGGCATCTCGGGATGTCTATAAAGAAAGTATTTTTAAACAGGGTGTTAGAAATTGAAGCTATGTTGTTGCTGTGACTACAGCCCTGAAAGTGACAATGAGACAAATTTCACAGGACCTACAAGAAACACGAATATGCATAATTACCTCAGTATAATGTTAACCCTTTCAACACACCGAAACACAGTGGTTTAGGTACAGATGCACAGAAAGATTACTGTTGCAGTAGTTGTGGGTACAGAGAAATGTCAGTGCACAGAATCTATAATGTACAGTCCCATGTGCACAGTTAGGTAAGTCTGGAAAGATGGTCAGAACACAATATCAGTAGGGAATAGTGCTACTCGAAGATCAGTATTACCTATTATGTGAAGTCGCATAGGCAGTAAAGTTTTCAGTATTGACTGGTTATCTACTGGCTTGAAATAAGGGCAGTGTTCAGCATCTATTGGATACAGTCTCACAGCAAGGTCAGTGTGTAGTATTTACTGGGTGCAGTGTTACCGGAATATTGGTGGGCCGTAGTTGCTATATACAGTCTCATAGTAATGTCAGTGTTCTGTATTTGCTGGGTACACTTACACAGAATCATAGAATTATTATGGTGCAGAAGGAGGCCACTCAGCCCATCGTGCCTATACCAGTTCTGTTGCTTTGTGCCAATCTGCCTTTTCCCCATATCCCTGTACACCGTTTCTATCCAAATAAATATTCAGTGTTCTCTTGAATGCCTCAATTGAACCTTCCACCACCACATTCCCAGGCAGAGCATTCCAGGCCCTAACTTGTGAAAAGGTGTTTTTCTCACATCACCCTTGTTTCATTTGCACATCACTTTAAATATATGCCATCTCATTCTTGATATTTTTACAAGTGGACAAAGCTTCACCCTACCTACTCTGACCAGCTCACTCATGGATTTCAAATCCTCAATCAGACCTCTCAGCCTTCTTCTCTCCCAACTTCTTCAATCTATTCTCACAGCTGAAGTTTCTCATTCCTGGAAAATTGTTGTAAATTGCTTCTGCACTCTCTCCAATGGATTCACATCTTTCTTATAACGTGGCACCCACAACAGTACACAGTACTCCAACTGGGGTCTAACAAGTGTCTTGTACAAGTTCAACATCACCTCCTCGCTCTTGTGCTCAATGTCCTGTTAATAAGGCTGAAAATTCAGTGTGCGTTATTCATTGCTCTCTCCACCTGTCTTGCCACCTTTAATGATCTGTGCATAGATACACCCATGTCTCTTTGCTCATGCAGCCACTTTAGAACTGTACCCCTATTTTATATTGTCTTTCAATGTCCTTCTGACCAAAGTACATCACCTCACCTGCCACCTATCCACCTATTCCACCATCTTGTCAGTGTCCTTCTGGAGTTCCACACTGTCCTCTTCACAGTTTACAATTCTTCCGAGTTTAGTGTTATCTCCAAACTTGAAAATTGTTCAAGGTCAGTGTACACTCTCACAACAATACCAGTCTACAGTATCTGCTGCGTACAGTTCCAGTCTATTATTTTTGCAGTGTACAATCCCATAGTAAGGTGACAGTATCTTCCAGGCACAGTCTCTTCTTTGTTGTTCATTTGTGGGATGTGAGTGTCGCTGGCTGGCCAGCATTTATTGCCATCCCTAGTTGCCCCCTTGAGAAGGCAGGGGTGAGCTGCCTTCTTGAACCACTGCAGTCCTCCTGCTATGGGTTGACCTACAATGCCATTAGGGAGGGAATTCCAGGATCTTGACCCAGTGACAGTAAAGGAACAGCAAAATATTTTCAAGTCAGGATGGCGAGTGACTTGGAGGGGAACTTGAAGTTGGTGGTGTTCCCACATATCTGCTGCCCTTGTCCTTTTAGATGGAAGTGTTTATGGGTTTGGAAGGTGCTGTCTGAGGATCTTTGGTGAATTTCTGCAGTGCATCTTGTAGATAGTACGCACTGCTGCTACTGAGCGTTGGTGGTGAAGGGAGTGGATGTTTGTGGATGTGGTGCCAATCAAGTGGCTGCTTTGTCCTGGATGGTGTCAAGCTTCTTGAGTGTTGTTGGGGCTGCACCCATTCAGGCAAGTGGGGAGTATTCCATCACACTCCTGACTTGTATCTTGTAGCTGGTGTTCAGGCTTTGGGGAGTCAGGAGGTGAGTTACTCACTGCAGTATTCCCAGCTTCTGACCCACTCTTGTAGTCATTGTGTTTATGTGGTGAGTCCAGTTGAGTTTCTGGTCAATGATAACCCCCAGGATGTTGATAGTGGGGGATTCAGTGATGGTAACACTGTTGAATGCCAATGGTTGATGATTAGATTGCCTCTTATTGGTGATGGTCATAATCAGTGTCAGCATCAGTGTCCCGCATTGGAGCAGACTGAGTGGGCAGTGTCCCGCGGTGCGAACTGAGCGGGCAGTGTCCCGCGGTGGAGCAGACTGAGCAGGCAGTGTCCCGCGGTGGAGCAGATTGAGCGGGCAGTGCCCCGCGGTGGAGCAGA